CTACATGAAAAGAGGCCCTAGAATCCAGATCACTTTATCTTTAGCTTTAGAAGATATTCCATCCTTCCAACTTTGATTCTGAGATGAGGGAGGGGCAGTAAGATACTTCTGTCACCAGGTTTGAGACTGTCTGCCTTTCCCTGCACAGTGATACAGTTTGGCCTACGTTTCTAGAGATGTCACCAGGGTCGCTTTTGGTAGGAGGTCAGACTGAATGGACATGTCCCAAGAGTTCAAAAAAGGCCTCTAGTGAAGCTCTCTGGACTGGAGTCACAAGAACACAGAAGAAAGTCCTCTGCCCCCTGTGCTCAGACCTGGGTCCCCAGGTGTGGGGCTCAGGGAGATACATGCCTGAAACGCAGTTCTCATCATTTCTGGGAATCAGAACACAGAATCCGGAAGTTTAAGATAGGGCAAAATACACAGTAAAACAGAAAAAGAGGGGAGGGAGGGAAAACTATGAGGAAGAAACCCAAAGGAGCTGCACTGGTGGGAGGAGAAGCAGATGGATCACAACAGGTCACAGATCTGGGTTCCAGAACTGAGTGGTGGAGCAACAGTGGGAAGAGAGCTGCTCTTGTCCTCTGTGGTCTCCTCCCCAGTATCTTTCATCCTTCACCTTTCTTGTTTCTGCTTCCTCATTTCCCCAATGCTCCTTTCTTTGATTTAGAATTCCTGGGAGAAGTTTGACAGGTACCATCAATACGCCCCAGTTACAGGAACAGCAGAGCCCAGCCTGTGATCATTTAAGACCACAGGATGCAGTGGTCCAGAGTTCTGCGGGGCTGTCCCCACTCCCCCCACACCCCCAACGTCACCCATCATGTTCTTTAAGACCACAGGATGCAGTGGTCCAGAGTTCTGCAGGGGCTGTCCCCACTCCCCCCAAAACCCTCAACGTCACCCATCATGTCCTTGTCACTGCCTGTAAGGAGCAGGACACACCAGTGAGACCTCAGAGGGGCAGATTGTCCTATTAAATGCTACCTGTTGGTGTCACAGCCTTTCCTGAAACACAAAACTTTTAATTTTTCACTCAGACCATGAACTCCACGAGGACTCAAAGCTGGAACAGCCTTCCACAATGGGCAGGACACTGGATGTTCCTGATCCTTGACTGGATGTTGGGCTCTCCAAACTCTATCAGGAAAGGGTGGTGGAGAAGTCAGCAGAGGAACATCAGCTTTGGTGGAGCACTAAATGAGAATTCTGTCAAAAGAGGTGCTCATAACAATCCAGTGGTGGTATACGAAAGGACTTTCCTAAACTTCCCCTTGGTTTTTATGAGAAAGTTATTTGGATTGTATTTGGGGCCAATTTAGACAGATGATTTCATTAGAACGCTACAAAAAATGGGTATGTAAATTTCTCTAAATTAAAATGTCTAGTTTTTATTTAAGTTTTAAATGTCTTTTTAATTTTTTAAACAAGTTACTATAGACACATCTTGAAATTTATAATCTAAAAATAGGATTTCATCAAAATACTCTATTCTATTCTGGGCATTGATTTTTTTTATTTATGGCTCTCCAGATGTGGTAAACACTATGCCAACAAAGTAAATAAACAGAAGGCATTAAACTTTATTTGATAAGAACAGCTTCCCATGAAAAGGAAATGATGTGGGAAAAATAAGAGCTGTGTTTGCTTGAAAAGTAACTCAACTTGACATTTCTGAGGCATGACAAGGCTCATCACAAATCAGTAGTGGCAGGATAGTTATATACAACCTTAAAGAGAACCACTGGAATACAAGGAAACAGTAGTCATAGGCCCACAGATCCTTTCCTTGGCAAAAACAGAAACCAACAAATCTAAATCTACTAATTTGATATCATAGGTTGTAGTGAAATATGTGCCAGAGATGGGCAAGTGGGAGCAGCCTTGAGTTCTTCAGTCACCTTCAGACTTAGTTCTGTGAAAATGCTGGCAAAGGTCAGACACAGACTTTCTGGTCAAAGAACCAAGTGGGAAGCCTCACACCACTCATCTCCCCAACAAGAAAGCAACGCATGCTTTGGAGGCAGATAAAAGTTAGGGCGGTTTTATTTAGGTGTTAGTAGGGCCAAATAGTGTAGCTATAGGACACAGAAAGTTTGCAAACGAAGGCTGGTGTGAAGCACAGAGGGACACAGGGCCATAATAGTGGGGTGAACTGAGATGGGCAGTGGGGCAGTGAGATCCTGGAGAGCCCTGGCTCTATGCTACTGCCTCCTTTCTGTTTTACTCAGTCATCTTTGCAGATGATTAAAGCTGCTCATGATCTACTCAGGTTTTTCTCCCCTTATGGAAACCTTGGATGGAGAAGCGTATGTGTATTCTTTTCAGATTAATTGCCCAGTCAAAAATGAGGGTAGGGCAACTTAAAGCAGTGTTGAGATGCCCTTCTGGACTTGAAGCAGAGAGTGAAATCCTTGGGTGTCCCCCCGTCCTTTCTCTCTGGTAAATGACCTGTCCCCCCAGTGACATGGGTGCCACATCAAAATCCTGAGACCTGGTCTCTTGTCCTATTTGTCTTCTGGTCATCTCAGCTGTCACTGTCCTTCTCTCTTTACTGCTCTGTCTATGACCAGAGCCTGGGGCAGTCTCTCCCTTCCCCAGCTTCTCTCCATGTGCTGCTCTCTTGGCCAGGCATGTCCACAGCAGAGTTCCAGGCTCTTAGCTGCAATTTCTGCTGTATCTGAAGCTTCTCTCTGATATACCTCTGCAAAGCTGCTTCCTTTCAAGGAGTCCCCTGCTGATGTTATAGACAAACTCTTTTACTGAGGCTAATGTGTAGAGTGGTATTAGTACATGGCTTTCTCCAGAATATTTATAATTTAGTGAGATTTGGGTTGCTTCTGGAGAAGCAGTGCCTTTGATGAAATGAATAGTGAATAAGTAGCTGCAATTAAGGTATTATGGGAGTATTTATTATGGTAAGTGAATCCTTCCAAGTCCCTTCAATTGTGTCATATGGCTGGAACCCCCTCTGCCATTTGTAGATGGATCCAGTCTGCCTCTTTTCCTGTGATGATTAAGATTGCTGCTGCTGTTGTCCTTATTGTAGAGGGAGTGTTCTTTGGAGCATATAGGTTGAAGTATATTTAACTTATCCAAGCAACAGAACAAAATGTTAGTAAGCGAAGGTTCAACTCATGAACTTCAACCAGAAATTGACTGTGCCTCCAGGCTTTTGGAGATGGGCTTCAAGTATCTGGCAGTTGAGAAAAGTGTTAAGTCATAAGTCAGCTCTTGAGGTGTTTGGTTCTCTAAGCCTATTCGTATTGATATGTCAAATTAAAAATTGGCTATTTGGCCATAACTTTTGCACTGAATTAAGATTTCATTTTACTTTCTAAATTTTCCTGCAATTGACATGTGTCATTTTTTTTTGCAAAAAAAGTTTCATTTGAAATGTTTATCATAAAGAAGTTGCCTACTACAGTACCCATTTTCTTTTCTAAAAGAACTTGAGTGATAAATTTGACCTTATATTAGTTCCCATAAAAATCTTCCATTTCCTACTAATATGTCTACTTATTATCTTGTAACAAATACCTACACCTTACTTTATTTAATTTTTGCCTCCTTGGTATATCTGTAATTTATGCGTTAATATATACAGCATGATGGTGTGCTTGTTTTTCTTGGCTAAGTGGCAAGACTGTGTTCTCATCAGGATGTGCACCCAGGAGTGGTCAGTGGGTTCTAACCAGGAAGCCTTTACCTGGAGGTGACAACTACTAAGCTTTGCAATTTTGCGTATGAATTACAGATATGGGTCTTTTTACTGGAAAAATTAGAGGCCTATCAACTAGCATGATGGATGTTAGAAGGGAACTCCATAGGTAAAAGTAAAACTCTTCAAGGTGTATGAGGTTGACTAAAGCTACATTAGAGATGTGTTGCAATGAATCGTGCATGCCCACTCTTAGGAATGATGCTATTGGTGGAATGCCAAAAGGCCCTATAACCAGCTACCTGCTGGGGGATCCCAGCTGTCTGATGCCTGCTCTACAGTTGCCAGACTCTACCTTTTGCATTTTCTCAGCTGCTTTAAGTGGACTTTTTTTGGCTGGTGTTGTGCAAGATGGTGATTGGAGAACAAGAAACCAGCAGTGCCTCAGGCCCCAGGTGAAGTTATTCTAGGTATTTCTTTGTGCTTACTTTCTAATTAAATTTTAGTTAAAAAGTCAAAATAAGGCCCAGGATTCGGTTTCTTTACTATCTCATAGAGAAGTCCTAAACTTCTCCAATCTCTCATTCTTTGCCACAGCCACCGAGTTGCAGCAATGACCCGGGTGCCGCCTTGCCATGCACGGTCATGGGTGTCGAGCCTGTTTCTTCACAGCCTAGATCTGAGCTCGCTGGTGCTTTGGGAACTTCCCTTTGCTCTGCAAGAATGCTGTCCATTTCTCTGTTCATATTTTCTTTAATAGCTTGCATCTCAAATCCTTTTTGAAAGCTGGTAAAGTACAAAACTGAAATGGGTAATGGAAATGATAGCGCATTCTTTGGGGAGGAGCCAATGGCTTTTCTCGTCATCGTGGCTTATCTTAAAGTAGCATATGAACTGTGCTCCTGAGAACCGAATGCATCGCTAGAGAGGTGCATGGCAGGGAGGGCAGCACGGGGATGGTGCCTGAGGTTTGCTTCTAGCTGGCAGGGCTCAGGTGCCACTTCCACATGCAACTAAGACCTTCTAGGCCGAGTAGAAACTTGCCCTGTGACACCACTGGGATGTGGAGAGACCAGCTGCACTTGTGCCTTTAGGCATGGTGGGCCACCTGGCTGCTAGCAACCTGGGAGTAGCCATCTGAGAAGCAGCACGTTCCTGATTCAAGTCTAGTTGCTCATCTGCACATGGAACACTTGTGTTGTATTTCTGGAACACCAACGGAAAATGAATGCAAAGAACCGATCAGCACCCTCATGTTACTCCATACACACGCTCACACACGCACGGCTTTGCGTCCTCCTGGTGCGCTGCTCTGGTGGACAGCAAGGGAGGCTGGGGCTCATAGAGTTAGTAGAAACTGGTCCTGCTCAGGCGGCTTCCTCACCCACGTGCCCAGACCAGCCTTCTGAAATGCTCTGAAGAGCTGCTGTTTCACAGACTGGTAGGTGCGGGCTCCCAGCTTGGCCTCACAGTACATGGACGGTGTATCTCCGGGGCTTGGTATCCGTGTGCTCAGCTGTGGGCAGAATGAGAAAGAAGTGAGCCGCTGAGACAGGGAGCCTCCCTGACAGCTAGAACTGCCGGAGGAGTGGTAAGTAGACAGACATGCGCTCCAGGCCTCACACTTGCTTGTGTTCCTCGATTACCTTCAAACAGCGAAATAACATGATAAAGAGCATTGATGCACTTGAAATTTACTGAGAGAGCAGATCCAAAATAAAATCATCAACCACACACATATACACACAAAGAAAGAGTGACAAGGTGCAATGATGGAGATGTTAATTGGCCAGATTGTGTCGATCATTTCATGATGTATATTTATCAGAATTTCTAGATGTTTATAGCCAATGCTTGTACATCAATTATACATGAGTAAAGCTGATAAAAGAAAATATCTATGTGCCATAAACAGACTATTGGTAAAGTAAAATCTCATATACTATCCCCTCCACCCCTATTCCTAGAAAATGAGTGACATGCTGAACAGACAGCCCAATACCCTCATTCCTATTTGGATCTGCCAGAATAATAATAATAATAATAATAATAATAATAATAATAATAATAAAAATAAAATGTATGGGAAGATCAGCCCAGCCCAGCAGTCTTAATTTATTTTTGCTGTTTTATTTATTTATTTTTGTTACAATTGGCTTTGCAAATGTGGAAATATATATTTCAATTTAAAGCTTGAAGATGTAGTTAGCAACTCAGTCTATAGTGGTCAATGTGCTCAGAATTACTGATGTTGTGGAGTTGAGGAGACATGAGCTCAAATTCTCTCCCCTGTGTCATTTCAGGGGAACGAGTCCAATTCCTCCGAGTGTGTTTCCTGAGATCTAAACCAATAGTACCAACTTGGAGAATTCTCTATGGACTTCCCTTAAGGTGCCCCGGGGGAGCAGCTCCTCCTCAGGTATTCACAGGTAAGTGTTCTCTCCCCAAGGCCCTTGGAGCCGCCTCAGCTGCCCAAGCTGCTGGAGTCTGGGTGCCCCCACGACTGAAGGCCAGGGGGTGCTGGGAAAATGGAAACCAGCTACTGTGTCATGTGTTGCCCTCACTCAGCCGAAACCACGAGTTTACGCAGGTCCCTTGGGTGTGTCCACGTCAGGGCAGCTGTGTAGCTGCCCATTCTCCCGGAAAGGAGCTGGCAGCGGCACCACTGACCTTCCCGTAGAGCCGTGCCCAGCGAGCGGAGAAAACGTGCTTGCAGAGCCTGGACGAGCTCCCGCAGCGTCTCTTGCCGGTGGTGGCGTCCAGAATTTCCACGTCGGCGGTGCCCACCACCCAGTTGACGCTGAAGTGGGGAGATTTTCCTGGCTGGCGCGCCTCAGCATTGCTCACTCCTGTCAAAAGAGAAATCGGAAGCAGCCAGGCATCAATATTCTTGGCCCAAACAGGGCTCCCGCGAGGCTGGCTAATGGGAAATGGTCTGTGTTTGCGCTGGCAGGAGACGGTCACAGCTCATCGTTTTCACATTTAAACCTTCACTGGGTCACTGCTTCACTTTAGGGATGGATGTAGGAAATAAAGCCTGACCTTAACACAAGTCTTGCACTGAGTCATTGCAGGAACTTGCTTTTCACTTTTTAGTTTAAAGGATTTTAACTGAAGGTAGAATCATCATAATAAAAACCCCGCCCAGATTATCCTCCTTCTCTATATGCTTGCTGCCGGGATTAATGAACAGATGGAACCTTGTAAAGGCCAGGTGAGGAGTGTGCTGATCCAGTACCTGCTGCATCCTCAGCATTTGCTTGAGGCAAAAATTCCAGGGGACTGAGGCCAGGGCAAGATGATACCAGATTCTTAGGTTTATTGTTTGGTTGATGAGATCAAAAAGAAAACTAACGAAAACAAGATAGCTAAAAGAGTGTAGGATAATGAACAAGTGATATGATTCAGAAACAGCTTCAGCTTCAGAATTTTCCAGACCAGTGCAAGATGCCTGGACTGGATCATTATTAACGATTTCAGGATGACAAAAACGCATCAGACTAAGTGCCTGTCTGTCCTTCTATGGCGGTCCTTCTGTGACAGCCGAGGTCACGCAACTCTGAGGCTGGTCCTGTCCAGAAAGCCACCAGAATTTCCAGGGAAGTCCTTTCAAAGTTTCTCTCCGTGTCAGACTGTACAATGTTTTTTAAATTGGGATGACATGTTCCTTACAGTCACATTTCATACAGCAGATCAGAAAAGGACTTAATCAGCACACTCCAATCTGGGAGAACACGTTTATAGCCCGGGCATTGGTAACACTTTCTAGCTTTTATTGTGAATCCTGCCTCTGGTCCTGGCCCCCTCCATGATGGTCCTCTTTCTCACCAAGGATACTGGTACTTAGATGGTGGGCAAAACTGGGCCCATGGTGTGACCTCACCAGCCTTCCCCTGTGGCCCTGAGATTCTGAGCTCTTCCACCTTCCTGGCTCATCCTCTCTTTTCTGGAGCTGACCTGTGAGTTTATATCCTTGTGGGGGAGGCATCTGAAGTAGTGCACATCATGGTAGCTGCGAGGAGAGGGGACCATGGCCAGATGTGTTTCTAGAACGCCATATAAGACAGACATGGTCTGCTCTGCTCTCAGTTGGAGCAGCACACAAAAGTGAGCAAAGGATGCCTCCGTCAAGTGTTCATTTTGATGATATTGTGGGATGCTTAATTTATTGTCCAAGAGATCGTTGTCTCTGGATCACTCAAGGCCCACTGATCCTCCTCCAGGTCATGGTCCCCAAATCCAGCCCAACAGAAGCATCTTTTTCCTTGCTTCTCCTGCTCCTTCCTGCTCTCCTGCAAATACTTGGTGGGGAGCAGAATGAGTTGCAAAGGTCTTTCCCCAAGGGTGGGTCTGTGGGTACATGGAGGGGGTGTGTGGGACAAAACTTGCTGCTTTAGTGCATTGCCCAGGTCACAACAGGGTCACGGTAGGTGGTAGAGACACCTAAAAGATGTGCCTAAAAGTTGTGGAGTCCGGGGAAGAGAAGATCTGGTGCTAGCTTTCCCTTTGGGAATTTCTTCAGTGGTGGCGTTCAAGCAGTCTTGGAAAGATCTCAGATGGTGCCGGACACAATGCTCGTGACCACCCTGAGCCTGATGCCCAGAGAGGACCTGCATTGCTCGCCTACACAGGTGTGCAGGCCTCAGCACAGCTATTCCTCTCAGGCAAGTGTCTTTCACTTCAGAGTGTGGGAACAAGCAGGTCCTCACTGGCCTTTGACACACCCTGGCAGGACAGAGAACAGCTCATGGAGATGCCTGAGGGTTCATAAGTGCAGCTGGCCTGTGGGAAGGGCAGACTCAGAAATAGGTCAACATCACTTCTGTGACCTACTCGCAGGGGGGCGTTAACCTGCTAACTGCTGTTACTACCCCTGCTACCATTCCTACTGATGTCACTGCCACCAACTAGCGCTAGTGTTAGCAATGAGTACTGCTAATTGCAACTCCTCCTCCTCCCCCTTCCCCTCCTACTTAGCACTAGGACTCCTGCCTCTACTACGCTCTTAGCACCACCATCACTGCTTCTATGGCCACTGCTGCTGCCACCAATGTTCATATTAGTGTGGTCACCACTGCTTGACCCCTATGGCCCTTTGTGACACTAGTGCTCTACCATTGCCACCCCTCAGTCATTGCTACCGACTCTCCCAATACTGCTACCGCCATTGCCACCACGCAGTTACTTCTCTGACCACTACTGCTACTAACCTCAGAACTTCGGAGGAAGGACAGTAAATGCCCAGCTTTTCTGTGAAGATGAGTTTTACTATGTCTCACGTAGCTTTTAAAAGATACTTCACAATGAGGAAATCCTTATATACGTACAAAAAGCAGTTTATAAGAGAGACATTCTAGCATTTCTTTAGTTAGTGGGCCTACTATAGTTAAAAGGTAATCCATTTTCCCCAAATTAAATTTGCACAAGATGTTCAGGGATATAATTTTTACATGAAGGAAGGCAAGTCTGAGCGGCCGGGTTGCTATATGTCAGACTTGGGGGAATAAGTGAAACACGTGTCTCCAGATTCAGAATCATAAACTTGCAGGACTAGAAGGGATTACTGGAGTCATGTGTGGGGTTTCTTACACCCACACACCCACACTCATGTTACACATAGTCCCATATCACATGTGGAGACACACACATCACGCATGTACCCTAGACACTCACCCACCCCGCTCCACACACAAACACACACACACGCCTATAAAGAAAGTGGCACTGGCCCTCTCTGGTGGCGCAAAGGGTTAGGACACAGCACTGCAGCTGGCCACAGCCACTTTGGTGTGAGTTCGAGCCCCCACCTCGGAGGTCATCCACATGATGCCGCAGACCTCTGCTGACCCTCCCGCTGCTCCCCTCAGCAGTATATTTTGTCGATCTGCTGGTTCTGCTCCCCACTCTGTCTCTGGTGAATCCTCTCACCACCCCTGCACCTCTGGCTTGTACCCCAGTTATGTATGAATACATAACTAAATCTTAAAAAAAAAAAGTAGTACTGGTAATATTTAACCTAGACTTATAGATATGGAGTAACTAAGGACCAAGGCTGTATTAGTGTCATTTTATCCATTTTCATTAGTCTGAACATCATTATAATTGACAGTAATTTTATAATTGCTTGTCTTAATAGAGCGTATTCCAGGGAAAGTGTGTGGAATGTATCAGAGGCTGGAAATAAGTAGGTCAGGATTGCAGAAGCTGACAATCTGTCTTTACTGCTATGAGAGACATATAACAAGTTCTGTGGTTTCCTGAAGCCTCAGGTGAATGCAAGTATAATCAAGAGCCAGGAGTTACTGTGTTCGCCTCCCTTTCCCTATGCCTGGTGGATGAGGAGCTGGCTGGGATGATGAGAGGCGGTGGTGAGGCTGTATGCTGGGGAGGGTCTGTGAGAGGGTAGTGGCTGCCGGGGCTGGGGTATATTCTCTTCTACTGAGAGCTCTCCACCTCTCAGGGACGTTCCTTCCTGGAGTCCGGCCTCATCTGGGCTCATAAGTGGCTGGGCTTGTACTCCTCATGGTTAAAATGCACTGCTCACAGGCCACTTGGAAAGATGTGTGATTTCCTCATGCAGGAGGAAAAATTAGAATATTTTATTTTATAATCTGGTAATGGCATGGCTCTTGTTCCTCTGAGGACTGTCATTTCAAAAGATTAGGGGCAAAAGGACTTTAACTTTGGCAGAATCTCATCATTTTTGCTTCAAATTATTTATCTTTCATTGCTGTAGTATCCAAAATGTAGCAATGTCAAGTTTCATACTAAATAAACATGGGGATGATTTTTTTTGCTCTTCATCCCATGTTATCTTTTTGGAATCACTTTTCTCATGTCCAAATAACACATTTGATGTTTCCATCAGTGGAGATTTCCAGAGTTGAATTAACTCAATTTTTGTCTGAAATGTTCTTTCTTCCTCATTTTTGAAGAATAAGTTTTACTGGGTCTAGGATTTTAAGTTGTTTAACTTTCTATCAGCATTTTAAAGATATAATTCCTTTGTTCTTTTTCCTCCATGAATCAGCTATGAGTCTGAGATAGCTCTATTAATCTTTTATTTTTGACTACTTTTAAAATTTTCTTTTTATTCTTGTGTTTTAACAATTTAACTGTTGTGGGGAGGATTAAAAAAATTCTTTTTAAGGTGTAACATGCTTCTTAACTCTGGAGCTTTTCACTGTCCTGCAATGCTTTTAGTTATTATCCCTTTAAATGTCACTCCTGATCCATTTCTCTCTCTTTTTTGGAACTTGTATTTGCACCTGAATTAGACTTTCCTATCTTTTGTGTATCTCCTCCATATTAATTCTATCTGTCAACTTTGGGTAAGCTATGTAGTTAAAGTCTCACCACTATGAAGCTATCACCAGCCACTGCAGCATGAGTTCGATCCCCAGCCAGGGAGCTGACCCACATGGCAAGCAGACCTCTCCTGTCTCACCCACTGCTCCACTCAGCAGTGTGTTTCAATCAATCTGTCTGTTCTGCTCCCTGCTCTATTTCTGGTGAATCCCCTCACTCACCCCACAAACCTGGCCTATACCCCAATCTTGTATAAATAAAATAAAAATAAATTTAAAAAAGAAAGCAAGGTGGAGCTGTATAATTTTAAAGGCCCTTACTAATTTGCCATATACTTAATCTAAGCTGCTTTTGCAAACCCATTGAAGCTGCAGACCACGCGACCTCATGTGGACCTTCTTAGAAAGAAGTTTTAATTCTTTATTTGGTGTCCCCAGACACTTGGAGAATGGTGTCCATTCATGGCAATATTTCTCAAAGAGCCCATTCTTTTCTACCTAGTCCCTACATTGCTCAGTCCCCAACTGAACCCGAAACTCCA